GTTTGTGTCGAGTGGACATTACCCCCCCCCCCTCCTCTGCCCTACAAAGGAGAAAGGCAGTATCTGCAACATAATCATGGTGTAGATACTGCCTTCTTCCTTTGCACGGCAGTCCTGACCTCTCTGTCTGTCGCTAACAAAAGCAAAGAGTTCCGAATGTCACAAAACGTGACGCAATGACCGTCTGCTGCTACGCTAATTGTTGTTGACGTTTTGTCAGTCTTTTAGTTTTACAACAAATTTCAGAGTCAGAGACTACATAATTCAATTTTAGGCTAATGGTAATTATGCCTATGACTGAATATTTATATCTACAGCCTAGGGCTATCCCTGGTCATACTAATATGCTGAATATATGTAACTTGTCAAAACGGATCAGACGAATGAAAGGCGGACAATTCTCTGCTGCCTAGCTGATATTCTTTGACTTTGACCAAAATAGTCATTACTCCTACCTTAGTAATTAGTATAATAGTAAAGCCTTTGACCAAAATAGTCCTAACTCCGACCTTAGTAATTATTATAATAATAATGCCTACAGCTCTTTTCATAGTAGGCTGCCTTCACAAAATCAAAGCGCCAATTAAAGACTAAAATTTCTGGGTACCGTAGTAGGCCTACTAAAAACAAAAAAAAAATTACTAGCACAACTAGCTTAGCCTAGTACTACAAACAAGTAGGCACTACTACTACTAGTACAACCAAAAGTAGCACGGTTATGAATATGATTAGACCTATATTCATGTAATACCAATATAAATAATTATAGTGCGTGTGACTTGTGTCTGTTCAGTGTTGGCACTGTTGTTGCTGATAATTTATTGACCGAGGCATATAGGCTAAGCATGATTTGAATACCTAGAAAGAAGTGGGAGTGGCCAACATGTGAAAGAAAAATAAAAAGGCTTTTTTAAGATTTATTTCTTATTTTTTTTAGATTTTTTGACTAACATTAACAATATTAACAAGATATTATATTTTAAAGTAGCTAAGTCTCTAACTCAGTTACTCAGTATCATCCAAAGTCTTACACATTCTGACGTTGAAAACACGAATTATTTGTCAATTCAAATCAACATTGATGTGATCTTATCGGGAAAAGGTAGGCTTCTGATATCCAATATATAAGACAAAAAAAACATTTTACCATTGGTAGACAAATCGTGTACTAGGCTATAGATAGTGCGTTTCAGCTTCATATGTAACAAGTGACCAAAAAGAACGAGGCTTTATTCCATAACTCATGTTATGCGCAATAGACTGGAATAACCAGACGCTATAAATTGACATTCGGTTGAGACTCATGCCGTATATCGCTGGACATAACTGATTTGAAATTAGAGTCAAAACGGAAACAATTGAATGTAAATCAGTTTATATACAATCAGATTACATTATTATATGCGTTGCGACCCATTTGGGTCAATTTCTAATTCCCAAATTTTAGCGATTTACCTCCTTTAACAATATAAATAAAATATAACAATAACAATTGACAAGAGAAATAAACCCTTGTGTAATATTTGCCACAACTCAAAATTCAATTTTACAAAAGTACCGTAGACTAGTTGAAATTAATGAATATACTTACAAAAACCAACTCTTAAGAACTATTATTGCACCCTGGATAAAATATGACAGATTGACATAAAATTTTTAATAGAATGATTCTAAATTTAAAAATGGTGAATTTGTGTATATTTTTGTAAGACGTCAAGTTGTGACCTACAAAGTAAAAATTATTTTTAACACAGCACCGTAGGTGATGTGGAATCGACCTAAACAATTAACTCGATAAATGATTGAAATTTGAATCAAAGTTTTGTATAACTATGATAGTATAGCTTACACAGTAGGCCTGCTCTACTTATATTAGTAGATCTGTGGATAAATCCAAATCACAAAGACTGTCTTAAAGTATAAAATTTTATAAAACTTTTCTTTAAAAGTTCTCCATAGCTTCAACTAGTTAGCCATAAATAGAGAATACCTTAGAAGAATTGAATTTTCTTGTATCGAAACACCTTTTGTGGGAAAGAAGATACAATATATTAAATGTGAAAAATAAAAGTTCATGTGTGACAAAATTAATGACAGACTCTTGAACTGACATTCCGGAGTTACCAACATTTTTCTGAAAACCAGGTTAACTCGATAAAAGCTACATTTTTTTATACGCCCACATGGAATTGTGGTTGTATATTGCCGTTGCACCCGTCCGTATATCCGTTGTCCACAATTTCTTGTGAACACTCTACAGACTACATTTATCAACTGATTGTTTTGAAATTGATATATATATATATTGTGTTTACATCAGTGAGATGATGAGTCCTATTTGATTTTAAAAATTTTCGTTAATTGCTTCTGGAGTTATGGCCCTTGTTTCACTTTGTTGAACCTTGTGAACGCTCAAACAACAAAAGTTATCATCTGATCTGTATGAAATTCATACGCTTCATTCAAATTAGAGACATGAAGAAGCCTATTGAATTTCAGCAATTTCCAATAATTACATCTAGAGTTACCGCCCTTGTTTAACGTTGTCAAACCTTTTGAACATTCGAATGACGAAAGTTATAATCTGATCTGTACGAAATTTATATTATCACTTAAAGTAGCAAAGTCTCTAACTCAATATCATCCAAAATCTTCGACATTGAAAACACAAATTATTTGTCAATTTAAATCAACATTGATGTTGTGACCTTACGGGGAAAAGATGGGCTTCTGATATCCAGTAATTAAGACAAAATAAACATTTTACCGTTGGTAAAGAGGCTAGATATATTCCACAAGTCATGTCAAACGGTGACGCCATATTCTTATCTGGAGAGCATGCGCAATAAATACTATCGGTATAGAGTGGAATAACCAGACGCTAGAGATTGCCATTCGATTGAGACTTTTGGCGTATTTCGCTGAACATAACGGATTAGAAATTGCAGTAAAAACAGAAACGATTGAATGTAAATCAGTTTATATACATTCACATTACATTATTATATGCTTGCGACCCATTTGTGTCAATTTCTAGATCCAAAATATTAGCGATTTAGCTCCTTTAAATTAGTGAAACGAAGAAACCTATTGAATTTCAGCAATTTCCGTCAATTACTTCTAAATTTATGGCCCTTGTTTAAAATACATTCCCGGGTACAAACTGGGTGATTTGATGATATATTTGGATTAAAAACATATTCAAACTAATTATTGTCCCCCGCCTTTCAAAAAAAGCAGGGGACTATTAAAATGGGTTCGTCCGTCTGTCTGTCTGTCTGTCTGTCTGTCTGTCCGTCTGTCTGTCCGTCACACTTTTTGGGACACAATAACTCTCTTCCTAATTGAGCTAGAATGTTCAAACTTGGTGTATGTGTTTATTAGGTCAATGCCTTGATGGAGTTCGAAGATGAGCATTTTCCGCTTAGGGTAAGCAGAGATAAGCAATTTGATTGGTTGATGCTTTGGGACACGATAACTCTCTTCCTAATTGGGCTAGAATGTTCAAACTTGGTGTATGTGTTGATTAGGTCAATGCCTTGATGGAGTTCGAAGATGAGCATTTTCCGCTTAGGGTAAGCAGAGATAAGCAATTTGATTGGTTGATGCTTTGGGACACGATAACTTTTAATTGAGCTAGAATGTTTGATTGGTTGATGCTTTGGGACACGATAACTTTAGTTCTAATTAAGTGAGATTGATGAAACTTGGTGTATAGTTTCATTACAGTAATACCTTGACTAAGTTTGATAATGAGCATTTTCTGCTCAGGGTAAGCAGAGCGATACGCAATTTGATTGGTCGAGACTTTGGAAAACAATAACTCTCCTACTTTGATTGTTAGACTATAAGTAAAGATATACTGTTTGATTGTTCAATACTTTGTAAAAGATAATTTGTGATAAATTTATATGTGTCCTCTAATTATTTTCCTATTTCGGCGGGGGACATCAGCCTCACTGTTGGCTTGTTTTATCATAATTTTGCTTCAAATCCTTCTCAAAACATTGCAATTGCCAGGGAATACCCTGGCTATAAAAAAATTGATCAAAAGAGGTCATGTTTGTGTCACGTGACTTACCTCTCTCGGAGGAGGAGAATTCATTGCATACCCAAGACGATGTTGTCTTTAATCGCGGACTATCTATTACAAATATAGAAGCCTAATTAAATTCTCGGATTATCCACTGCCCGCGTCTTTTTCTGTGATTTTTATCTCAGAAAGTGTTGTATGTCTACTCTTCATAAAGTTTATCAACATGTACATCAAGCGCTCAATCTCCGCGTGCAACCTTTGATGTCACGCGTGCAGACACTCCTAATCCTTGGGCTGTTGATTAGGGAAACCCTTACATTTTTGTCATGCGCTCCATGAGTGTTTTTCAGGGAATCCAGTATTTTTCTAGTAAGATTGGATATTTCTACTTTCCATATATACCAAAATTGCCATACTTTTATTTGAAATGACCACCCGATAAATACTTTTCTGGGAACCTATCTTTGTTGAACTTGTGAACATTCGAATGACAAAAGTTACCACCCGATTTGTATGAAATTTATGCATTATTTGAATTAGTAAAATGAAAAAGCCTGTCGAATTTCAACAATTTATATAAATTACCTCCAGAGTTAAGGTCCTTCTTTCAGTTTGTAGAACCTTGCGGACCCGCAAACAACGAAAATTATAATCTGATCTGTATGAAATTGTCTTGTAAATACCCTCAATTACCTACAAAAGAATAGATATATGCGACAACCCTTGTCGACCGCTTGGGCGATTTTGGTGCTGTTGGCGTAGTTTTCATTGCCTGGCAACCTATCTTTTAATTTCTTTGTCGATCATGGAAGAACCCAATCACCTCTCCTTTCCATAAACTTTGTGAACCCCATATTGTGGTCATGAGAAGATGAACCTAATCAATACTCAGGTTCACCACATCACAATGAAAAAACAGGTTTTCTCCTAAAAAATACATCAAGACTTCTATTTCTCGTTTCAGTTCTGAAGAGATTGATTGACAAAATGACCATTTTTGAAAAGCCACAGTTCAAAACTTTCATTGTGTTAATAATGGTTATGATTTTGTGTAAGTAGTATTAAACATACATTATGCAAGAGCTAAATCTGCCTATTGCAGGTCTTTCTTTTATAGGCCTGAAATGTTATCTAAATTATTAATTAGACATTAATTAACTTATCTAGACCATAATCAACTCTCGATGGCATTGCTAGCCTGCGATCTTTAGTGGATTATGAGCCAATTTACTGCATAACTTTCATTCACATTTTAACGATTAATAAATGGATAATCGAGACTATGCTGTTTATCATACTGACTTTGCTCCCTGAACCGAAAACCTTGTAAACGCAATAGAAGCTACGGTTTCTACCCAATTTTCTTTTTAAAATTAGTGTGAAGCATTTGTATTATGAGATGATAAACACAAAATTCAGCATTCCACATCTTTCTGTTCCGGAATTACCTCCCTTTTTCAGAGGCTACAGTTTTTAACAGAGTTTTTGCAAATTTTGTGTGAAGCCTTGGTTCCAATCATGTATTGTTGAAATTACTTTTTTCAGATGTGTTTAGTTATGGAGTTGCTGGAGATAACACCACAACACCAGTACCAGTTGTAGATAAAGTAAAAGGTGACTTGTTTACTGTTTCCTGAATTTATTCTGGATAATATATGTACTAGTTATTACTTAAATTTGTGCCTTGTGATAGTAAAGTCACAATTGAACAGAAATTCTTAATATTTAGATTGGAATAAAGGTGGCTCCTTCCAACTTTTATGTGGAGCAGACGGTGCCTGGTTTTACATTTGTGAAATACAATTTAAAAGTATAAACTTGAAAGTTCAAAGCTTATATCAGATATTGTTAACTTAATTTCTGAAATTTATATTGGTTGTCTTTCCTATTGATAGGGAAAATCTTATCTATTTTCTACGACATTTTGATGACTTCTTGTAACAGTGCTTCTTGGCTTGTGCAAAACGTTGAATTAGAAGTGCTTTTTATCGCTCTCCTCCGCAGATAAAATCAAACCCATCATATTTTACGGATTTGTCAAAAAACACATACCCCAAAATGCAAATAAAGCCCATGTAAACAAAACCTTGAATATTATCAGATGAGAATTTTGTTTCTGGCCCGCTGCAAAATATCGCTGAATTCGATACTCAGTGCTGGAAACATGATGTTTCAAGTAAATAGGTGTTTTATATTTGGTTGTTAAAGTGAAAATATTTATAGAAACTTATTATATTGTATATTATGACAAATTCAGTAGCTACTCCAGCTACTGCACACTATACAGTACTACATGTTGGTCATTGAGGTTATTTTTCCCTTTTGTTCCATAAATATTGTAATTATCATGTTTGGACCACTAAGCTGCTGGTGTGCATGTTTTGTTACCTGGCAACCTATGCTTATATATAAGCTTTAGTTTAGATTATTTTTGATTGTTATAAAATTATTCTAATTTTATTAGAGCAGTGTCTCAAATTGTGAGTATTATAATTTGATTTTTGAAGAAATATTAATTTGTTGATTATTTAAGCTTTATCATGGAATTTCGCATGATATAATTTTTACTGTACCAATATAGCATATTTTGAAGTCTCATTTGTTTTTGTTTTTTTGCTTGCATTTTCATGTAGACATTCTCAAGGCATCAACCTGTTGTTGATCCATCTAGTCCACACTTTCACTGATATCTCTACCATTTTTAGGAAACTTGGTATGGGATTTGAGAAGCTGAGTTTCAATTTAATGCAAAACTTCAATTATCAATGAAGGGAACTATTAAAATGGGATCATTTGTCCGTCACACTTTTTGGAACATAATAACTTCTCTAACACTATTTGAGGTAGAATGTTCAAACTTGGTGTATTAATGTGTTTATAATAAGGGGAATACCTTGACTAGTTTGATGATAAGCATTTTACTCATGGGCTAAACATTTTAATTGGTTGATGCTTTGGTGTATGTTTTGATGACTTAACTGCTGGTTGACCTGGTGATCTGTGTTTAATTATTGCTGCTTGGTATTTCAAGTTGAATAATTGTCAACCATTCTTCGTTTATGTTTGGTAATGGAATTTAATGTTATTGTTTAAGTTACTGGTTTATTTATGACATTGATGGTATAAAAAATGAAACTAGCTTTGCCACAGTATAAAAAATATTTAAATTTAAAGCTAAGTTTAGTGTACAATTAATATAGGATTATATGGTTTAATTAAAGGACAGCCTGGTTGGTACAAAAGATAGGACGTTAAACCGCATTTCATTCCATTTAAAAGACAGCGAATAGAACTGTGATTTGCAGTGTATGCAATAATAATAATCACTTTATTTCAAAAGGGTAGAAAATTAGGCCTGGGGCTTTTCTTACATTTTGCCCTTTTAACAACATCAATCATGCATAGAATCCGGAACAAATTTGTTAACATAACGATAATAAATATATTAAACGTGCTGTTTGTTAAGGCCGTCGTTCGCACTTCATTTGGTGAATTTTAACAATAAAATCGTTTTTGAGGTTTTATGATCATCTGCGAGTAACACTATTTAGGAACACATACCAGTCATTTTTTTTACAAAATTCTTCTTTATTTCTACAAAATTTGGTTCTGAATGATCCCACCCTTTTTTATTTTGCCCTAATTCCGCTAAAACTATTGATATAAATCTAAAAACAATAGGCATTTCATACGTGAAATACTCGGCTTCCGACCGGTAAACTGTCGCCATGTTGGATACTGTTAGAAAGCTTGGGATCCCCCCTATTGAAAGGAAATGACGTTTTATGGGGGTGTCTTGAAACCTTTCTTCTGTATTGAGATAAAAATAGCAAGCAAGAACAAGTTTTGCATACCTAATGAGGTTATTTCGAGAATACGTTATTTGATTGGTCGGTCACATAGGTCAATGGTGAAGTGTCCAATCAGAAGCGGGCAATCCTCTAGATCAGGTCAATAGGCATGCGCACTAAGCTCATGTCCCAAATCAATCCTGGTTGCTATATTACTGAACCGTACGTCACTGTTTATCAATATTTTTGAAGATTTTCAAATAAAATGCGTTTGAAATTGTTAGATGACTAAATAAGTATGACAGACACTCATAATAAACAAAATGAAGATGAATATTCGTCTGCTAGACCTAGTAGTGGTATGGTTGCAATACCATTACCAGGTAGGCCTGCTGTCAGTGATTATATAGTTATGGTTGTTTTGAATAACATCTATTCCTATGTCAATGTTCGGTTGTAAATTTACACACAAGAAATAAAATAAGAAAATACTGTATATTGATAAGAAATACATTAGAAAATATATATATTAAAAGTCAGTTTATTAATATTAAATAAATGAATTGAAAAGATCGGCGTAAGTTGTTCTACTGAAATACTTCCAACTTCAGTTGTTGATTTCTCAAAACAGTTTTTTTCTAGAGTTACCAATTTTAGTCATGCTATATCTCTGAAAGTTATCGTCAGATTTTCTTGAAACTTGGAATATAACTTCCTATATAATAACTTTGTGCAATAGGAGAATTTTATTGAAATCTGCAAAATAGTTCCTGATATATTGTTGCCATAGCAACTGTGACACGTGAAAGAATTTTGAAGTTAACATTAAAATGTGTATAACTTGCTTTCTAATTATTATTTTGTAATGAAACTTGCCTATTGCACAAAGGAACATGTCAGTAACCTCTCTGCTTAATTTTAAAACATTCTGTTGAATAGTTTCTGAGAAACTGGATGACTAAAATTATACGCAGAAATCCAAGATGGCCGCCGTTTCCATAGCAACAGGTACCCCCAGGAAAATTTTTCGGCCGTTTTTGTAATACTCAATGGATGTGTTCTTAGATGTGTAAGAATGGTGACTTTACCTCAATTATTAAAAAAACTGAAATTTTCTACTGTCCACCCCCTTAAATGTGAAAATTATTAACGCTAGGAGAGGTATGAATAGAATTATACAAAATATATAAATGTGAACAATATTTGTTCGAAGATAGGTATGAATAGTATTATAAATACAAAATATATGTTGGCCTACATGGATGAACATAAAAGCTGATGACATAGATCCATAAAATATGAATGAACAAGAAAAGATTAAATTATGAAGCACTTAAATATCTATAGATATGCTTACGAAACGTGGATTGAGCTTATATTTTTAATATAATCATTAAAGGGAGCTAAATCCAAAAGATGGTCTTGATTTTGTTTTTTCAAATGATCACCATGTTTCTTTTATTTGGATTATTGTTATGGAATAAAGAAAACAGTTGAATTCCATCTCCCAATTTAGGAAATTGTTTACATATTTTATTGGTATGACTATAGATAATGCAAGTTTATTGGGCCATTAAATACATGTACATTTCAAGAGATAAAAGAGATAGTGGTATCCTAGTTTACATATCCCTAAAAGTAAATTTAAAAACAACAAAATCTTGTGATTATGTATGATTCAGATTGTCATCCATGGTTGTTAACCAGTCACAATACCAGTGGGGGTGGGGTTATTAAGTGGGGAGGCTACCCGAAAATTTTTGTTCTGAAATGTTAAAGCTATTGAATTGAAAATGGTACAAGTAGTTAGGAAATGTAATAAAGAAGGGAAAAGTAAAAGTAACTTTAAAAAAATGTTGTTGCCAGGGTAACTCATTTTTTGGGAAAAATTTATGAAAAGCATAGGTACACTATATCTTTGTAACTAATTAAGATATTGTCACCAAATTTGCAGGATATATAAACAAATATCTAACCATGGATCAGACAGAAAGCAATTTTAATTATCATTAATATTTGAAAAGTTATTGTGGTGAGGCAAATGTTTTAATCACCATTTTCCAAGAAACCATGAAAATTATAGAGAAAAACTCTCTGTCTGATTTTAGGGTTATCATTAAAGAATAAGCAGTCTGAAAATGAGACATCTTTATTAGTGACAGAGATATGGTGTACCAACATTTTTCATACTTTTTCCCAAAACTTGTTAACCCTAGCAACATTTTTTTTTCTTTTTTTTAATGTTAGTTTTCTCTTGTTTATTACATTTCCTAACTACTTGTGCGTGTCATTTTCAATTCAATAGCTTTAAAATTTCAGAACACATTTTTTGGGTAGCCTCACCCCTTAATCTTTTCAATCATTCATTTTTTTAATTTCAGAATTAAATTATATACTTTACAAAGGAAGGAATATCGCATTCCTTCTGCATGTCGAAAATATGAACAGGTAAGCTTGCTATTGTATAATAATATATTATGATACCAGACATAATCATTGTAAAGGAAATATATAATTTAACTGTGCATTGTCAGCTCAATGATAGACTTGTTTTTATATTACATATTGTATGTGGATGTACTTTGTTGTGACCCCTGATTATGGTAAATAAAAGACTTGTTATGGTTTTTCTAGTTTTAAAAGAAGATTTTTTAGACATAAATTTATGCGTTTAAAGCCACGGGAAATATTTGAAATGGGGCAAACAGTGAAATAACCAGAACCGTATATCTTTGTGGGGGGGAGCCACGGTGGCTAGGTGATTAAAACGCTGACTTGCTAGCCTGGAGGTCTGGTGTTCGATCCCTGCATTGGCCGAGAAAGTTCATCTGGATTTTCCGACGTGGTTTCCCCTTGTCAGTGGTGCAGAACGGAGGGCCTGACAAGGACAGCTGTCTAGTCCTTCGTATGAGACAAAAAAACGAGGTCCTGTGTATACATTGGAATGCACATAAAAGATCCCTTGGCAGTTGGAATTCGATATAAGAGTAGGCGATAGTGCCGCTGCCCGGGCAAAATTTCCCTCATAGCACACTGTATGACGTATGCCAGTCTTCATTAGCCCAGTATAGGAGCAGAACAGTAGGACATTAAACCCCATTTCATTTCATTTCATTGTGGGTTAAGGCCCCTAGCTGCCTTTCATACAAAAGCCAAAACGAAGTTTATGGGCTCTCTAGTAGAATGAATTGGCAACATGTGCCTTATCAATTTTGCCCGTTCTCCACCCACCTCTTGGAAATGTGGCCATATCTAGCATGGGCCAAACACTTGTTTTATTTGCCTGTATATGATTAGGGTTTGTTTTTTTTAAGGCAGTTAAGTGTTAACTTAATCACCTGCCAATTTCATAAATTAATTAATGTTTTGAATCACATTTTAAAATCTTATTTCAGGTTTCAAATGTGACAGCAGCAAGTCTTTTAGCAGAAATAAAAAAACCTACAAGTAGCAAGGAACACATTCACCAAATTATTCGACATCCATCGTTTCCTTCTAGGCTTATTAATTCTTTTGTTTTACTCTTACTTAATGAGACAACAGTAAGCAAGTTATTGACATCTGAATTCAAATAATGCTTTAAATTGAACACATTTTATTTAAAATATAAGCAGAACAAATCACATCATTGACATATGTCTTAAAAGTCAAGAATATGTACTATTTTAATTATGTAAAGACTGTTTAAGCACATCCAAGTATTAAAAAAGGCTTCGTGAATGGGCTGACTTGTACAAAAAAGAAAGAATTTTTTTTTACTTTATTTGTCTAAGACACATGACAATTTGAAATCTATAGACTTTATTTAACCTTAATTTTGGCATGTTGGATATTTAACATTTTATGGTATTCCTAATTAGATGTGATAACTTACATCACATGTGGTGCCTTTTATTTATGCAGAATTTGAAATCAGAAGCAAGAGAAGTGGCCACTGAAGCTCTTTTGGAGAAAAACAGCAACTTTCAAGTTCCAAGGCAGATTGCATTAAAAGATATCTTGTTTTTAAATCGTCTTGTGATGTATTTGCCAGGATACTTTATCACAAGAATGTCACATGATGCATTTGACTATCTGTGAGTTTTCTTAAATATTCTAAATAATAAACAATTGATAAGTATTCTATTATTCTTAGACTATTGAAATTAAAAGTAGTGACTGCTTTTTGATTAAATAATGAAAGGAGTTTATTATTTTTTGTCACATTCATTACAACCCCAAAATATTTTCAAATCAAGACAGTTAATTGAATTCCATGTTTTGATGTTAGGTATTTAGACAAGGAGAATACTTTTTCTCAAACTAAGTTTTCAAAGGCGATTTTTGTTGATCAAATTTATATTGTAAGATGATCATTTTGTTTTGTTATAAATACACAGGATAGACACCATCCATAACTTCACAATCTCAAATTCAGCAGCAACACCAATGACATTGGTTACAGAACATATCCTGGATGACCCCATGAGGCATAGAAGTTTATGTACAAAAGCCTCATCTATGATGACTAAGAGTAAGAGCATGATAAATGATCATGTAAAGAAGATTTTCTATTTGATGAACTGTCTTCCAGCTTCTATTTGTTCATCTCTGTCAGTGAATGTGGTATAAACTTTTATGTAATTATTGCTATTTAATTCTTCTAGTTCAATTCATATTCCTACATTACAAATTCTGGTCTTCTTCTTTCAGACATATTATGTAGATGTGCCTATTACTATTTCTCTAATTTGATCATTTTTGTGATTCCGTGGAAACAAATTTGGCTTAGTTTATGTCTAAAAGAAACAGTGGTGGTTTCATAAACATTCAAAATAGTTTTGTGGAAACTTTATTAAACATTATTAATTTGAAATTTCTTTGATTTAATAGCATTTTATGTTTCCATGGAATCAAATTTGACTTACCGGTAGTTTGTGGTATACAACTTTATTCCGGAGCACATCTTATGGAACTTTAAAGATATCTAGAACTGATCACATATCTTTTCAGTCTTTTGATATGTTGATAATTTAATTCTAAAGAATAAGTGATGGTGGTTGGTGTATATGGACAATAATTGTATAGGCAGCAGCTCAAATGTCAAAGAAACATTGATTTATATTGTTTTGATTTGTAGATACAATCAAATCTTCAATTGTTGATGTCTGTACCATGGAGTCAATCCTGTGCTTTAGATACCGTCTCAGAAGACAAGCGAAAACGTTTGAAAGAGCATAATTTGAAAGCTGCAGTTCAGAAAGGGTCTGGATGTGCCAGAAAAATTGCCAATAAACTCTTAGAGAATGACATAGATACCAGCAAATGGGATGATATTAAAAAGTAACAATATTTCTTTTAAAAATTTTCTTATCAATCAAAGCATTTCAGTTCGAAAGGGTCTGGATGTGCCATAGAAATTGCCAATAAACTCTTAAAGAATGACATAGATACCACCAAATGGGATGATATCAAAAAGTAACAATATTTCTTTTAAAAATTTTCTTATCAATCAAAGCATTTTAATGAGATCATGTATTGTCTTTAAAACATCACCCAGATCCTCCTAGTCTTCCACATGTGAAGAGTCTGGGACCGTTGTCAGTATTTGACAAAAAGTTCCATTGCCCATGCATAACTGGGAGTTGATGAAGTGGTTGATTATACAGTATTTTTTGCCTAGTCAAGTAAGAGTTGTGCCCCTTCCCACAATAAATCCCACAATTCTTGCATTATTATAAACTAACATGAATTGTGACGACAAAAACATAGATATGGCCCATGAAGAGAGAAATTTTGCAATAAAAAAAATTAAGAGTGTTGGATATTGAACTGGCAATGCAATCAAATGGATTTTTCTGGAATGGCATTCTTTCATGGGCATCAACATCTTGGTTTAGGACTAGTTACCTCCCTTAGACTTTGTTTATGACAGTGTGAAAGACCCGATGATCTAGCCAATGTCCTATTATGATCAAATGTGGACAACGCATCCAGGCTAATATGTTGTTATGCACAGTTATAATCCTGATTGTCAACTTATTATTAATTATAAGAACACAAAGGGCTGAAATGAACTTCTGAAATTTAGGATTGTGACTAGTGGTAATAAAATTGCTAAGAATACTTATTGATATATTAGTAAAGGCAAACTATATTTATGATTTTTGCAGAATTAGTCCAATTTTGATTTGCATGTCGGATACAGAAGTTAAGAATGTTTTGAATAAAGTAGATTGTACACAAGCAAAAGATGGCCTTCTCCAAATGGACACAGATAACTCTAAAGCGGTAACTATTTTATTATACAAAATGTCACTTAAGGTATTTAATCAAATGTAAATGAACATACAATAATTATATCAATATCATCCACAGTCTTCGACATTGCAAACACGACTTATTGGTCAATTTAAATCCACATTGATGTTGTTACCTTACCGTGAAAAGATGGACTGATATCCAATGTTTAAGACACAGTGAACATTTTCAAATTGGCACACAAATCGCGTGCCAGGATGCTTATGAGTGCCATTTGTAAAGATGCAACTTGATGAATGAGGATAAACTTCGCAAAACATGCTGATAATAGAGGGAGGGGGAGGTTGTCAAGTGGTCTAGAGATTTAGATTATAAGGTTTGTACTTGAATCAACTGGCTCAGTTTCGATTCCAAACTTGTACATGACAAGGAGTAGAGTCATCTGTCCAATCCTGTGGGTTTTCCCTGAGACATTCGTTTCCTCACACTGCTAAAGACCCCTACGCACATGCAAATAATTGAAATAAAATTATACCATATGTTAGTCTTGAAATAACCCCCAAAGTGACTGATGATGTGAATTTCTATTCAGGCAAAGCAGAGATAAACGATTTGAATTGGTTGGGACTTTGGAACTTTTATTCTAATAAAGATAACAGTTTCATTATTAGTCAGTACCTTTATAAGAATTTTCTGCTTAGACTAATTATATAAGTACAGATAACCTATTTGTTTGGTCAACACTTTGAAATGCAACAGCTCTGCTTATAAATGAGGTGGAATGTTGAAACTTGGTGTAGACGTTCATATGGTGATATGTCTTGAGTTTGATGATTCACATTTGCTGCTAAGCAGAGATGAACAATTTGATTAGTTGTCAGTTTGGGACACAATTAGAGTGAGAGAGAGAGAGAGTTTAACTTCCACTCGACACAAACTAGGTCATTTTGGGACTAACATATGGTTTAATTTTATTTCAATAATTTGCTTGCGTGTAGGGGTCTTTAGCAGTGGGAGGAAACCGGAGGACCCGTAGAAAACCCACGAAGTTGGACAGGTGACCCTACTCCTTGTCACGTACAACCGGGGATTCGAAACCACGCCAGTTGACTGAATGGCAGGCCTTATGATACAGCATGCACGTGCTAACCATTCGACCATCCAACCCCCCTTTAAAGTAAGAATATGAAACCTGGTGTATAGTATCACTACATCAAAACCTTCACTAAGATTGATCATGAGCATTTCCTGCTTAGACTAAGGCTTCATATAATTTCATTTATTGGTTTGATTGATTTATTTTATAGGTTATGAAAGCTATTGCTTCGAGATGTGTTTTTAAGACTGTACAAGCTTCAGAACTTACCTGTAATGAGCTTAAAAACTTCGCCAGTTTCTTAACCAGTGTACCACTAAGTTTTTTAAGATCTGTGCCGAAGACTGCCCTTTGTGGTAATGACTGCCAAAAGGTGTTTTTCAAGGGTGTTGGTAATTACACAATGCCATCATTAATTGTAAGTAAACATATTTGAGAGTATAAATGATGTCAGAAAGTTTTAGACACTATTTTATGAAGCTAGAACACTTCAAAAGAAATGTTTATATTTATTAAATGATATATTAGCCATTATTAGAAATTGATAATTTCATATTCCTAGGAATTACCTAAAATTCAGAGCCAGGTATTGATTATTTGCTGATAAGTTGCAATTACTTTAATTGTTTAGCCAATGGAAGAATAAACCTAAGCTTTTATAGTATTTTTCCTGTCAATAACTCTTGTAAATGAACTACAGCTAGGTCTGATTTTTACTATTAAAATGGGTTTGTCTGTCTGTCACACTTTTCGGACAAAATAATTTAGCTTTTAAGTGAACTAAAATGTTCAAACTTTGCGATTTTCAATTTTTTCCAATCCCAGAAGAGCTTTTTCAGCTCCCCAGACAAGAAGGCCTGTTTGTTGACAATTATTTTTAGGCCAATCTGATTAAACATATGGTAGATCCTATTTTCTATCTTTTTCTTGTTCAAAATTTCATTTTGCTTGTCTTCACTACTCCTGGATCTGGAAGAGTAGTTAAGTACGGTAACCCGCTTTCTGGGTTATATGAGAGATTGGCCAATCAAATGGTCTGTTGAGTTGAATACTTATTGTGTGGCTCACAGAACTATGACTAGACATTCGGACTGATAGAAAACAAAACAAAGCAAAAGTTGTAGTTCTAAATAGCCACTAGGAACACCGGCGCTGATTAGTTAATCGAATGACTGACGTGATAGGGTGAAAACTCGCTCGTACGACCTTTGACATGATCATCCACTACAACTGGTCAGATCTTCATGTAGTGGAGGCCATTATGATGGTATATAAAAAAAAAATGAAAAACAAACTATTTTAATCAGATTGTTTTAAGACTAGAATGGTTGACTGTGCTGCTGGTGTGTGTATTAGTAAGGGTACTGTCATGCTCATATATATTCTGGTGCTTACTCTGAGAAATGTGTAATATATGAGAATACTAATAATGCAATTGTTGAATTGTTTTGTAGAAAAATTATGTTTTGAAGACATGTGGTTTAATTGGTCCCCTTGATTCTGCTGCTTTGAGTCGTTTAGGTGGTATGGTTATTAAATTGCCAATGAACAAACTTAAAACTTTATCAGCTACAGACTTGGGTAATATTTTATCAGATGTAAAGACCTCGATGAAAACTGACATGAGGAAGGATCCAAGAAGGAATGTTATGATGCGTAATATGGCTAAAAAGGTATGGACATTATGGTACAAAAACAGTATTTGGTTGTCTGGAATAATTTGTTGTTTGTTTTTAAAACAACTATTTAAGATCTGTGGTTATTATTGCATGTTTAGGTCACTTGACTTGAAATATGCGAAGTTCAGACCCTGACTTGAACAATGATGAATGTCTAGTTGTTGAGATAGTCCATAGTCTCAAAATAAGCCATATAACATTTTGAGACATTCATTGAAAGGGGCATTAGGTAAGATTAGATAAAGAGCTAACAGTTCTCGCTATAATAGTTAAAAGACAGATAATGAAAACAAACTATGCTGAAATTTTCAGTCTATTTGCTTCCCTCTGAACCGAGTTATTAGCCATTCAATTTTAGGCTAGTCTCAGTCGGCATTACTGACGTTGGTATGATAACAAACAAAGTCTCGATTATCTATTTTTACGTTAAATTATCCATCACAAAATGTGTTCAAATCCAGTAAATATAGCAAATTAACGATGGCATCAAAAGTTGATTATGGTCCAGATAAGTTAATTAATGTCCAATTAATAATTTAGATAACATTTCAGGCCCAAAGAAATACCTGCAATAGGCTGATTTAGCTTGCTTAATGCATGTTTAAATTACATGCCATTAAATCCATTTGAAAACATCTGAATCACTAGAAAATTATTTGTGTAATAATTAGACCTACATGTATATCAAATGCTTTAGTTATTAGGTGCTGGCACAATAAGCAGAATTGCAGATAATAGAGATTTTATGAGACAGCTTTCCTTGAAAGACTTGAAATCTGTTCAAGATGTTTCTAGTATTTACAAGTCCAATACGACAATTGATTTACCAGATTCTCAGGTAATTATTCAATACATACTACTTACTTTTGGTACATTTTGCAGTTAAAAAAAAGAATAAAGATTGTTTTTCTAGTCAATGGACTGAATTTATGTTCTTTTGAATGAATTTGTCGCCAGGTATTAAGCAATACAAAGTCAATTGCAGATCAAGTGTTGACATTAACGTGAGAGCACTGGAACAGCTGACAACTGGTCTAGTTTTCCAATAGAGGTGTTTCAGCATAAGTGCAAAATGCACAGTTAAATGTCTGTCTTTTTACTCTTTAGGCCAAATCTGCAAATCCTATGTAAATAATATTCAAAATTCATAAAATTTTATAAAAAGCTTATGAGTAGATATTTTGGGTGTACATATATAAATGTTATGTTATGGAATTTTCCAGTTTAAGATGCAAAGTGGTTATTTTGGAAGATTTGATTTTTCAGAATAAATTTTTCATGAAAAAGGTTTTGGAAACTAAAAGAATAGATAATATGTCGGCAGCAGATGTAAGGTAAGAAAACTTTTATTGATTATTATAAATGTACAGATTTATTGTCAACCCTGTGAGCCCATTCACAATTATTATCAACACTCTACAGAGACTTTTTGGGATTGTTCAGCTAGTCTTGAGAATTTTTGCCAGATAATTTTTGTACAGTCACTGAAATCTTGTAAATGCTCTGCAATTCCAGATTTATATTTCTTTTCATATTTGCTGGAATTGTTTGGGTAGTTATCAAATCTCAAAGTGACACATCAATTCTATGCTGAGTTTTATTTTGTAGTATTTTTTTTTTACAGTTTATATGAATTTTTTTACTGTAGGGAAATGAAGTCATTGGTAAAAGGTCTAATATCAAAGCAGATATCTGAATTTAATCCAATGTATAGAATGGAGATTGCTGCCGCATTATGTGAACAGACAAATTGGCCAATGAAATCGGTATTTATCACTGCTCAAAATGAACCTTGGCAATCGACAAAGCTGTTGTAAAAGTCTTGGCAAGAAATGACTGCTACATCAAAATTATCTTGTCATCACCACTTGTTGTCAACATTATTTAGTGATGAACCAGTTTAATGTTTTGTCTATGCTGTATGAATGGCTTCATATTTCCTTTTGAAATCAATGGCTACCAAAAATCATCTTTCTCAGAAAATTGGTATGAATACCATGAAACATTCAATATTTTCAGAAAAATGCAAATGATGGAAAACAGCTTTGAATAAATAAATAAGTATGGAGCCACTTTGGTCCAGTAATTTTTCAGAATAGATCTCCCCCCAACCACTACTGTCAGTAGTGCAGGACAGAAAATGAAAGTTCTGTGTACACTTTAGTGTGCAAATAAAAGACCCAGATGACCAGACACAATGCAACTAAGTCCAAGGATCCAGTCCCTAGTTATCATTAATTTGAATTCAAGTATTTATAATATAAGGAAAAAAATGACATTTGGATAGTAAACAGCTACTGTCAGAAAAGCTGCTCTAGAAATATCATTCTTGTCATTGACAAAGGAATCTGTAAAGTATAGATCTATTAGAGTTATTTTACCTTTTTTTCCCCATAGATCCGTGCTATTAATCGCAATCTCATTGTTGAAAGTTTAAAAGGAAAAGCAAGTACAGCTCCTATGAAAATCTTTACTGCAATGGATGTTGAAAATTTGGGCTGCGAATGTTTGCTACACTTTAAGTAAGAAAATCTTATAATTTTATATTCAAGCTTTTATCATAGAATATAATTTTTTTTTTTTTATGGAATGGTTGAATACTATCACTAGAGAGATGACAATTTATAATCTCCCAAATTTTTTGATTACTGCCATGGTAGAGTTTTTCACCGGCAGTTTGAGACTATACTTTCAATCAACAAGCTCACTCCTTCTGTGTAACTTACTGTTTCAGAATTTAATATTTTTTTTGATATTGTAAACATGGAGTACACTGCTATCCAAATGAATGTTTTCTATACAGTTAGAAAGCTATTGAAGCAGTCATTATACTGTCCGAATTATGTGTTCCAAAAAAGATACACAAATATTCATTGTCCCTGCAGTAAATAACATATTAGGGAGAGGGGTTTTACATAGGCTAAGCCTGTTCCCCAATCCCTTTCAGACATCCTGAATAAAAATATTGTTTATAAAAAAAAAAAAATAACATATAAATCAACTACAAAATATATTGAAATTCATAAACTTATTGATATGCAAAATGCTAAACATCATACATACAGCTTGAAAAAATATATCAAGGGACAAATAAAGTAAATGTTTAATATATTATTATGCACCAGTTGTGTACATTTTGTGTGCAAGTTTATTGTTGTCAGTAAGTTGTCACCATTCTTACAAATTCTTAGAAACAGAACATTTACAATACTATAATGTTCTGGTCTCCCTTCAAATTGTTGCAGTTTGACCGGTTCTTGGAATTCACTTGTTTCTTGTAACTTTGACATTATCTAGTTTTTCATTGGATGCTCCCGATCTCGGCCTCTAACTGTGTTAGCACTATCTTCTAAAATTCATTAGCCACATACATTTTTCATTTGCCTCTTGAAAATCTGATCTGTATTTCGTTTCGCTTTTTTTTTATACATTCGATGGCCTACACTACATGAAGATCTGATTGATTGTACTGGAAGGTTGCATCAGGGGTAGCATGAGCGTCTTTTGACCTATGACCTCAGACATTAATTAATCAAACAGCGCTGACGTTTCTAGTGGTTTATCCACATTTCAGTGCATCGCACGCCAAGAACTCATTGGCTAATCCCTCACTGCAACCAGAACGCTGCTAATATAACAACTCTTCCAGATCCTAGTGTAGTAAAGACAAGTGAAACGAAATTTTGAACTATAAAAAACGGAACGAATAAGGTCTGTGTTTTAATCAGATTATTGAAAAGTTGTTTGTATACTAGTCTTGGTATATAGTCTGTATTAATGATGTAACATTTTGAAGCTAGCAGCAAGTGCTAATAACTTATACAAAACATTGAGCAGAAATTTGAAGATGTTAAATTCCCGTGATTTATTACAAATAACAAGTGCTATATTGAATTGTTTCCTTGTTTCTCCTGCCACCACTTTGGCAAACTTGTGGTAAGCACAACACAAAGTATTCTTCAAAACACAAAATGTTCTACAGTATTAATTCGTAATTTAAGTCTATATTCTAAACACTGCAGGAATTATTGATGGTATTACCCAGGGCTTTATTTTGACAATAGGTGTTGCAATTAATGTGACTGGCAACACATTTACTGTATCAAGTTCATTTCTTGTTTTACAGTATATACAAATTATGCTTCATTATTATTTAGATCTGAAGAATTAAAAGAAATGACGTATGAAGCATGTACTACTACCTGTACAGCCATAGGATCATGTCCGAAATTCAAATGCCTCAACCCACAACAAAGAAGGAGTGTGCTTAATGCTTGTTTGACTTGTATGGTGAGTTTGTCTTTATAAATCCAAATTGATCCCATTGGATTTATTGTACCAAAACTGTGAATTAAATTATTTGAATTCTTCTCTAGCATATATTAACATCATGGAAATAGACACGTTCTAAAATTTTATTAAATAATTATTGCAATAATGTAGAAAATGTATATCTTGTCATATCTCATACAGTTCCTTTAATTTGTTTAGAACTTAACCTCAAGTCAGTTATCTGTCGAAGACATTTCATCGCTCGGTCCTAATCTGGTGCAGCAACTAACTTCATCTGAATTTGATAATAAAATAAGTGCTTCCATAATCAGCAGCTTACTCAGCTACTTCCAAGGTGGTTGCATAACTGTGGATCTTCGAAATGCCTTGAAGAAGAAGATACTTGAAGGAAAGGGGTAATTTCAGACTGCTTTAATGTTGTCATTAGTCTCCCATTGCTGAAAGCAAAGGAGACTATATACGTTTTCTTTCCATCTGTCTTGTCATTTCTGTTTTCCAGATTATTTTTTTATTTGATTGAAATTTGGTACACAGCCGCGTTACAGATCTAGTTCACTTTTCATGAGATACTGTTGGAGGCAGACCACCATTAATTTCCCCATTGACTTCAATGTTAATTCTGGCCTATTTGCCCACCTCCAACTTTTCCCCAAATTTTCGTTGGGCTGAATGCTTTTCACTACAGACAGAGGAACAAATGGTCATGTCTTTGCACTAAAATTTGTATAAGGTTGACCACCAAAATTTTGAGATACACAAACTTGAAGAAGCATACTAAAAACATGTAACTAGTTGCCGTACATATCGCCGTAGCTAACCTGATAACCCTCTTATCCTTCTGCCTCAAAATCATGAATATTTACCAAAACCTGGCAGAAAATGTTAATTCAAACCCTCTTCGTCCATTCTAGACCAAAAAATCAACACAAATGGGCATGCAAAAGGGGAGAAAAGAGAGAGAGAGAGAGAGAATTGCTATAAATAGACGAACTACAATTCGTGGGTACCAAGATGATAAAATTTAATGGTGGTCTGCCTCCTATATGGTTTTATAAGTTCATATATCATCAAAATTCTTTTCTTTATAGCTTCACATTTATTTTTGCAACATTATTATAATATAGAATCAAGAATCAGAAAAAAATAATTACTGCAGAAATGGTGACCCTTTAAAGTTATGTAGTGTTTTGTATACCGGATTGCAGCTCAGGTCCATGGGCCTTTTGTTCTAGAATTGAAGATTCTTTCTTAATTTTGTCGAAATGTGAGTTCTGCGAAAAGATTTAAAAAGTTTCCGACAAGTCACATCAAAAATATTCAAAATATTGGAATATTTTTCAAAAATTGACTTTCTTTTACCTTTTTCTACAAAATGGTCCATTTTTGACACTTTGTATGCCTCAAAATGCTAATATTTCCCTATTTCTGGGAATGTCTGAGATGAAAAGCATTTATTTCTAGAAACCTTGGCCGGTATACAGGAAGACAAGCTGCAAATTTGTTGCATTGAAGGTAACTGTAAGGAACTATAGTGAAACCAGTAAGCCCACCCCCTAAAAATGTTGGTGTGGTAACAAATCCCACTTGTGTCCACATAAGTAATACTGTTGATGGAATATGGCTAAAAGCCATGTTCTTCTATCCCTGGCTTATATACATACATATAAACACAGTTTGTTATAAGAAGTATGAATTATTTATTAAAATATGGATTGATAAATGTAAAATAAATGCTGTATTTAGGTGACAACCAGCCACTCTAATAAAAGGGTCGCAAAGCACTATTTTTTTTTCAAAAAATGGGAATATTTCAGTTTTTAAAATACTTTAACAATCAGAGGTATCCTTGAAATTACATAGTGTAAATATTATGTGGAAGTAAGTTGTTTTAATCTTTACATCAATGTCCTGACAAAATGAGATGGAAAAAGGGAGTTCTGACATAATTCAAAGCATAAAAGGGGTATGAAAAGGCTATTAATTAATATTTTATTGCCCTGTAACTGCCACATTTTCAAAGATCACCACAAATAATAGATTTACATTCAAAATGTAAAACATTAAGCTGCAAAAAACACATCTACAACATATCCATTTTGGGGTGTGGACTCATTTGGAAGAAATGTCATAGGATTACATGTTTGACCATAAACAAAAAGTCTTAGAAATCCTTGAAATCTTATATGTAACTATTTGTTTGTGTCAAATAAAATGCTCGGTTACAATTCAAGCACAAAATCAGATTACTGCTAATTTGGAGTCAACAAATGTTCAATTGAATATCCAAATATCATCTTCAAGAAAAGGGGTGGGGTGGGGAGGGTGAGCCAGTCTAAATGAAATGAAGACAGAGAAATTTCCCTGCAAACACATAGATTTTACTTCCTCGAGAAGGGAAATGCAACAATTTCAGGTTTTGAAAGATTAAAATTGTGTTAAGCCTGAGGAAAACAGCAGCAAAATGCAGTTCACTCATGTTTTGAAAATTCTAACACACCTAAGCAGAACATAATTAGACTAAATTTCTTAATTTTTAAATTTTTGACAAACACATGAATACTTTTTCAATATCTGACAAACACATGGATCCTTGCCAAGTTATTTAACAATGAAAATAAAGACATGCAAAACATTTTGGTTCATTTTACAACAGATGAATAATTAAAATTTTGACAGCAATATTGGGGGTAATCTGAAGAATTTCAGACAATTTATCATGATTTTTAGGCAAAATTGAGTGAAATTATGATACTTTCTTCCCGTCTAACAATTATAATGCAGAAAAAGTAAAAATCATACATTAAAATATTTTCCACTAATTTTGAAAAGTAAATAAACACTGAAAATCACAAAATTTTGACTAAAATCAAAATTTCCCCTCCCAAATTTGTCAAATATTTTTGAAATTTTACCATTTCACATTTTTTACTATCAAAATGCCATATATCACATTTTCTGACAATTTGGAGATCATATCATCAAATTTAGGCCTTTCATCCACTGTCAGGTTGTTTTCATATAGGAGGCAGACCACCATTAATTTCCCCATTGACTTCAATGTTAATTCTGGCCTCTTTGCCCACCTCCAACTTTTCCCCAAATTTTCGTTGGGCTGAATGCTTTTCACTACAGACAGAGGAACAAATGGTCATGTCTTTGCACTAAAATTTGTATGAGGTTGACCACCAAAATTTTGAGATACACAAACTTGAAGAAGCATACTAAAAACATGTAACTAGTTGCCGTACATATCGCCGTAGCTAACCTGATAACCCTCTTATCCTTCCGCCTCAAAATCATGAATATTTACCAAAACCTGGCAGAAAATGTTAATTCAAACCCTCTTCGTCCATTCTAGACCAAAAAATCAACACAAATGGCATGCAAAAGGGGAGAAAAGAGAGAGAGAGAGAGAATTGCTATAAATAGACAAACTACAATTCGTGGGTACCGAGATGATGAAATTTAATGGTGGTCTGCCTCCTGTTAATGTTTTACTGAGTTATGGCCCTTTGTTGATACAATTAATGATAATTCTGTTTTCCAGAATGTTTTTGGATTAAACTTTGAGGTATTTAATTAAAGGTTAGCACACTGAAGTACATGTATATAGCATAGTTGCAGATGTTTTATGAAATTTATATTGTTTTTCTATCCATCCTATTTAAAGGAAGAATCCCAAAAAGCTTTCAACAATTTTCAATGATTACTTCCAGATTTATTTCTCATTATTACAAAATCTTACGATCTGATCTTTTTGAAATTTGTTTGTATTGTTTACCTCATAATTATTCGGGTGACATATCTGCAGGTGGGCATGTTTCATTGCATGGCAGCCTGTAGTGTTTCACGATTGTAAATGCATCAGTTAAAACCTTTATGGATATTTTAGCAGGTGTATGTGTTTGGTTCGTTGCTTGACAGCCTACTATTGTTTTATTTTTATTTTAGGTAATTTGTTTTTAGACTTTTATTTACCTCTTACTTTTATAACATTCAAATATCTAATCTTGAAAATGATGGTTCATGTTTAATTCTTTGAAAATATATTTTATAAACTTATTTTAAGAAATACATCAACATTTGATATGACAGTATTTGAAGAACTACAGGAACTTATTATGATCTTCACTGAAGAAGAGCAAAAAGATATGGATATGGTGTGTAAAATATCAAGTTTTCATTGAATGTGGATAATACTGCCCTTATCTCCATTATTCCCGTGCTCTGTTCTTCCTCATTTGCTTACTGATGAACATATTATACAATCCTGCAGGGGTGACATGTACAGTGCTGCCTTGTTCGATGAGACAAGAAACCAAGACCCACCTGTGTACTCACTGACTGTTGGAATTTGATCAAGAATAGGCGAAAATGCTTTTGTTATGACAAAATTGAACTCTCTAGCATTACGAATGTTACCATAAAAACAAAAATATTCATGTTAGTCCCAAAATAACAAGTTGTGGTGACAAGAAGTTAAACTCCATTCTGTTCTGTTCCTTTCCTGATACTTGACCTGCTTTCATTTCCGAAACCTCCATTTATAAGGTGATGTATCTACCACTTGCTTCAATTTGTTCTTCTTAGAGGTTATGATATAATCTTACCCATCTGCAATCATGGTGACAGATATCGCTGCAATTGTAAGCTATAAGAAAAATATTTAGCAATTGATTATTAAGTTATTTGGTTCAGTTCTCAGTAAGACCATGAAGATAAAGTTTTAAGTATAAATTGACTCATAATTATTTTTAGGCTGCTTTGAATGGAGTTACTGAAAATATTTTGAAAGTATTGAATCCTACAGAAAATACAGATATTGAGATTCAGAAGTGTTGTGATCGGTGGATGTCGAAACAAGATAAAGCTATAATTAAATCAAGTATTAAAAGTCTCTATTCAACAATAATGAAAGCCAAAAGAGCTGCATTTGAGTCAACAAACAGTAGGAAAAAAAGACAAACAGGTATTGCATGATGGCCATGTACTCAGTGTTTTAATATACTCACATTTAATTTGGATGTATATTGTCATCACCTCCATTGTTTGCATTCAATTAGGGAAAGAACCTGAAAAATATGATCTGACCTGACATAATTTGTTAGAGTTATGACCTCTGATTTTAACATCTTTTTATTTTTCCTCCCGGATTTGAATCCAAATTATTAACACTTACTCAATCTCAATGAAATCGTCAAATTGGACTTATTGATACAACAAGCCCACCACCTAGCCATCTTTATCTTGCAACCATTTCATACTTCATTCTCTTCATTTTAAAAAAATCCTATTTTAAGCAAAGCAGGAAGGTGGACATGCAGTGATCAGCCATAAAGAGTATAAAACATCAGGCTGATAAATCAAATATCCAACTAAATGTATTGGGTTTCTATAGTAAATTTAGAATTTTCATCGCCTAATCATCATGCCTTTAAAAATTTGTATATATATATTTCAGAGACTTGGACCTGTAGTGATATACAGAGTGTCGGGCAAGCTTTTACTGATATTTCTGTTTCTGAATTACTAGCAATAAGTAATACTGAATTTTCCAGTTGTATTCAACATCTGGGAACTTTAACAGGCTGGACTTCAGATCAGCTTAATGTATTATACAACAGAACAGAAAATGTAAGAATTTTTCTTTGTTAGCATACAATATTACCATAGACAGGTTTCCTGTCATCTTGATATTGATAAAAATTGAAAAATAATTGATATTGAACATATAGCAGTGTCCAAATGTTGCCAGCTAGTCATTACAAGTGACAGTTATTGGCTGCACATTTTCAGACTGTTAAAAGGATTTTTATCTGATTTTGATAGAACTTAAAATATTTGTTTATATCCCAGAGATTTCGATTCCTATTGATATTCGCGCATATCGGACCATAACTTCCTGGATTATGTCCCCTGATTGTACGAAGAATCACTTCTTTTTTTTATCTTGTTTTCTGTCAATCTCTTGCAAAATGTGGGCGTATCTTGCATGGCAACTGCTTGTTCCATCCTATCACCCAGTTCTGCACTAAAAGTGGAGAGTCACATCTCCTTTCATTCTCTCCTATTGCTGGAATATAGCTAGTTCAAGAGATAGGTTAATAAAGAAGTTAGAAATAGAAAATATTAGTAAGTGAACAAACTAGGACTAGTCAAACCATTGAGTCTACATTTTCCATCAGATTTGGTTTTAGAAAAAGTAGGTCCTACCTATAAAAATAACTGACCTTTTTTTTTTTCATTGCAAATTGTTTCCTATACAGTTACTAGCTAACAGCTGTAATATGACAGAAAGTGAAATAAGTTCCATTGGAAATATTGCTTTGGGAATGACAGTAACAGATATTAATTGTCTAAATATGACGTCTGATGATGCAGTTTCTGCTTTAGGTAGCCTCTCAGTTTGGACTACTGCACAGGTAAGTGTTCAGGGTTTTTATACGCCCACATTGAAATGTGGCTACAGTTATGGCCCTTGTTGTACTTTGTAGAAATGTTACTGTTCAGTCAGCTTGAAATTAATGTGCCATGTGCAGAATAGCGAAACAAAGAACTCTGTTGAATTCCAATACTTTCTGTTAATTAGTGCAAGAGTTATGACCTTTGTTTCACTTTGATGAATTTTGTGAACACTCTAATGACAAATGTTTTCCGATCTGTGTATTATTCCAATTAGTAAACATAGAAAAAGCCTATTGAATTTAGTAATGATATTAATATTTCTAAAGATTTTACCTTGTAGACTACACTCAGTGTGAAGCATATTATTGGGGTGGGAGGATGAACCCTACTGATATTCAGCATTTCCCAGCCCTCTTTTTCCAGAGCTACCTTCCCTTTTTTCCAAAAACCTTGTTAACATGATTATAGGCTACGCTACAGTTAAATGGGGATACTTTGTTTTTGCATGATTGTTCACCATCATTAGAAAGTGTCTCAAATAAGTTTGGAATCTCTAGCTGGAAGGATTTACCAGAGCTGGGGTAATGGTAATGGAATGCAATCATTACATTTTTGAAGTAATGGCCATGTAATGACTAATGGAAGATTTCATAAGGAATGGAAATGTAATTAATTAGGCCTACATACCAAAAATCATGTTATGGTCAATTATATTTCAATTACATTTTATGGCATGTATCAATATTTCCATCTATGACAAGCCTAAAATGTAATGACCCCAGCCCTGATACTTTCACAATCTTAGTTTATCTTTGAATGCCTTAGGTCATTGTTCATTATTCATGTCCGCTCTATATCTTGACTACTACTTAGAGTTGCTTTGCATGATTGTTCACCTGAGTTCACCACCACTAGCTATAGGTTTGTTGCAGATATTCACTGATCTGCAGTTCTAATTTCCTGCAGGTACCTTGTCAAATGTTATCAAGTGTCGCTTTAAAAATTAATATTCTCATCTCCATGTTTTATATCTTTTTAATCTTTGGATAGATATTGACAATAATATTTTGCATATTTTTATTTTTAGTCAATATACACTAGACGTTTCGCCATAAATAAATACTGGTACCCAATTACTCAAGTTGATTTCCTAAGTTTATAAATGAATTGCCTTTAAATTTCCTCTGTATCAATGCCTATCAGCTATAATATAAGTAGTACCTCATGATAGATTGGCCTATACTATTTGATATTTATTTGTTTATTTCTTACAGCTAACAGCTTTAGCTGAGCAATGCAAATCTGATAGAATAATTTCTGTTTCCTCTTTGTCATCTGATGATCTAACTGCATTAGGACATATTTTATGTGGTTTTCGAGCATCTGAGTTAAATACTATTAATGCAACTGCAGTAAGGTAAATTGTTCATTTAATGACTAGGGCTGTATCGATACAGTTCATTTTCGATACGAAACGTGTTCACGATACCGCAAACTGATAAGTGTTACGTATCGCGATATGGGACATCACAAATTTAAGTCCAGTTTATTAACATGACGTCACAATCACATGACGAAGTAGATCCATGCACAGCACAAATCGTTTGCAGCAAAGACAGGGATAGCAAAGCAAACAAATAAATAATTTAATAGTTATTTAGAATCTATAAATAGGTTTCATGGTGTTTCTTAATTTAAGAACATATTTTTTCAATGATACCATGACTAAGTTCGATGAAGAGAATTTTCTGCTTAGGCAAAGTAGCAATAAGCAATTTCATTGGTTAAGATATTAGAACCTAACAACTCTGCTTTTAATTGAGGTAGAATGTTTAAACTTACATTATGCAAGAGCTAAATCTGTCTATTTCAGGTCTTACTTTAGGCCTGAAATGTTATCTAAATTATTAATTAGACATTAATTAACCTATCCAGACCATAACCAACTCTAGATCGCATCGCTAGCCTGCGATCTTTAGTGGATTATGAGCCTATTTACTGCATAATTTTCCTTCACAATTTAACGATTAAATGGATAATTGAGACTATGCTGTTTATCGTACTGACTTTAGTAATGACGATCAAGGCTAGCTGAAAATTTCAACCGCTTATTTCTCAGTTCATAATGGATCAATTTGAATGAAATTTTCAGCAAATTGCCTTTACATTATCTAGTTTTTAACTATTATAGTGAGAACTGCCAACTCATTATTGAATCTCCCATAATTTATCTTTAAGCAATTTCATTGGTTGATGCTTTGGTTCAAGATAATTTTGATTCTACCTTATGGCTGGCTGTACTAAATACCGAAAAAATCAGAAAAAGCACTGAAAAATACTTATTTGATACTAATTACCCAAAAAATCTAAAAAAACCTGTCCACCCTGTCCAGTCCACCACTGATGGTCTGAGTATCCCTGTCCACCACTGATGGTCGGACTGTCCCAGTCCACCACTGATGGTTTGTGACCCAGTTCAGCACTCATGGTCTAAGTGAACCACAAATGGTCTATTGTGTCATAATGCACGATCTGAAGGTCTGTGTGTTCCCGTCCACCACTAAAGGTCTGTATGTCCCAGTCCACCACTGATGGTGTATTGTGCCAAAGTCCACTGCGGATGGTCTGTGGCCCATTCCATCACTGATGGTCTGTGATCCAGTCCACCACTGAGGTCTATGTGTCCCAGTCTGCCACTGATGGTCTATGGTCCATTCCACCCCTCATGATCTGTATGGACCAGACGACCACTGATGGTCTATTGTGTCGTATTCCACTACTGATGGTGTATTGTGTCATAGTCCACTACTGATGGTCTGTGTGGTCCAGTCCACCAATTATTGTCTATTGTGTCATCGATTCCAGGCAAAATTGGAAAATAAATGATTTGAGGTATCAGCTGATTGCATATAATCCAGTGCACTAAGGCCAAAGCTAATTTTGAAAGTTGATCAATTTGCCTGAATATTGTATCCATAATTCAAATTGGAGTGAGTAGGGTAACTTTAAAAGTCCTTATTTCCACAACCACTCTATGAGATTTGGACACTTCCATGGCTTCAAATGGTCTCTAAATGGCCGACGTTGAGACAATCATTTAAGTTCATCCACAGATCCTTTTGCGAGCATGTTTTTTGCCATCGTTATGCAGACGTAATCTAGCTAAATTTTATGGCTAATATCTGAAACTTTCACTGAGGGATTACAAGAGTAAAGTTTCAAATGCAACTAATCTACTCACCTAGGTAATGATCCATCATAGTTGAAAGTAAAGTCATCACTAAAGGCATAAAGTCCACACAAAAAATAACCTGCCTTTCCCCATCCTGGAAGTAGGTCCTCAATATGTGCATGTGGAATGAAACCAATGTGTGTATATATTACAATGAATGCAGTCCTGATCCCTTGTACAGTATTTTCTTAATGTAGGGCATGGCTTTTCACCAGGAGACTGAAGCTTATTTGATGAACTTATAGGCTGTTCTGACATTCTTTTCCTTTTTCCAAATTTGTGGGTTTTCTCCGGGTCCTCCGGTTTCCTCCCACTGCTAAAGACCCCTACGCGCAAGCGAATTATTGAAATAAAAGAATTAAAAAAACATGTTAGTCCCGAAATGACCTAGTTTGTGTCGAGTGGACATTAAACCCCATTTCTCTCTCTCCTCTCCTTTTCTTTGTTACTTTTACACGTGGCATATCAGCAGTAGGTTGGTGCGGAACACCCATAACTAAAAGATCAAAAGCCGCTGAAGAATGCTTACAACCTGCACTAGGATGTTTATAACTAGTTCATAAAGAAAATGATGGCTCAATGGTGTAAATGGGAAAAATTGCAGTCTGTAATTACATGTAGTATCAAAAAAGTTTTTTCTGTGGTTTTTCGGTATTTAGTACAGCTCGATACTTTTCAAAAAGGTAATGTGCAATTTGTTTTGATCTTTTTTATTACAGTAATTGTGGTTCCCAGTTAGGATCATTGTCACCATCAGTTTGTTCAATAAGTCATATCCAAGCTTTAACAAGTGTTGTACTTCAACCATCAGGTTATGGTCATTCCAGTACCTGGGATGCAGCTGTATTCAGTGAGCTTGGAATTTTAATTGGTAAGAGTTTTCAGATTGAAATTAGAACATTACTCTCTGGACAAGAATGAACGATCTAGAGCATAAATCTATTGCTATTGCACATCAGGAAAGATCTCTATCTTGAGGTTTTGTCACTGCAATCTGAATCTGAGATTTAATTGAGAATTGGATGATTGTCTAAATCTCCACCTATTTAAAAGTTCCATTGTCTTCATAATGATAGATTTGTTATTACGTAACATTTTTATTGTCCACCGTCTTTCGAAGAAGCATGAGACTATTAAGATGGGTTCGTCCGTCCGTCTGTCACACCTTTGGAACACAAAGCTCTGCTTGTAGCTGATAGTGATTGAAGAAACTTAGTATATTTGACTAATGTTCAAACTTGGTGTAGGTCTTTGTTAGATGAAAGGGGAGTTGGATGGCTGAATGGTTAGCAAGTGCGCACTGTATCATAAGGCCTGTCATTGAGTCAACTGGCATGGTTTCGAATCCCCGATTGTACGTGACAAGGAGTAGGATCGCCTGTCCGACCTCGCCTGTCCAACCTCGCCTGTCCAACCGGTTTCCTCCCACTGCTAAAGACCCGTACGTGCAAGCGAATTATTGAAATAAAATTAAACCATATGTTAGTCCCGAAATGACCTAGTTTGTGTCGAGTGGATGTTAAACCCCATTTCTCTCTCTCTCGTTAGATGAATACCTTGACTGAGTTCTAGGTGAGCTTTTTCTGTTTAGGCGAAGCAGAGGTAAGCAATTTGATTTGTCGAAGCTTAGAGACATAACTTTGATGAGTTCATTTATGAGTATTTCTGCCTAAGCTACACAGAGTAGTAAGCAGTTTAATTGCTCCATGCTTCACGAAAACAAAGAAATTTTGGGATTGAAGCGAGGGACATTGGCCTCAATGCTGGCTTGTATTGATCTAGTAGCTTAATGACAACAACCAGGGCAATCAGTAATTTAAAATCCTGACTTGGTCAAACTGGTCATTTTGAAATTTGGCACTATACATGGCATGTTTTAAAATGGATGTCAACTGGCAAGGAAATCGTGGCTCAGATATGCTCATGTATGAGTATATTGTCGTCACAACCACCTGCCCATTTATAATTCGTTCATCTGCTCCTGCTAATACTACTGGATATCAACATTAATACTATGTAATGTATATTTAATACGTATGTAGTTATATGTTTTATGTTGTTACTATTACAGCCGGATTATCTAGCAATAATTTTGCAAATATGTCCATTTCTGCTATTGAAGGGATGTCAGTAACAGCTATACCTAATATTCCATCCTCAGCTCTAAAAGTAAGTTCATAAATTGTTATGGTTATTCACTAACAATGTTTTCAGGTATTTAATTTTTTAGAACACCGGAACAGTGCCCACTAATCTAGCCTAGTTGGGGGCGTGGCATTTCGGGCATGTGTGTTAGGGGTAACCCACCGCACAAACTGTCTGGCAGTGGTCATTCATGATTCCTGTAGTGGTACCGAACAACTCCAAAGCTGTTTTAGGTGGTACAGATTTCAGCTAATCTAGCCTAGCTGTGGTGTGGGAATTATAAAACTCTTGTCAGGGATACTCCACCACTACAAATGTCTGGCAATTACATAGCTCTGTCAGGGGTAACTCACCACTAAAAATGTCTGTCAGAGTGTTTGGTACACTGCTGTGCGATTTTCATATGGTACACATTTGAGCTAATCTAGCCTAGTTTTGGGGCATGGCATTTTGTGCGTAGAATACCACACCCACCACCAGAAACCCGGCAGACTTACATTCTGATGATACCAGATATACATGCATTGATACCATATAGGAGAAAATTGGTACACTTTTCAGCTAGGTTAACCCCCTGGGCTCCCGCTCTAATACGCCATACAGTGTGCTGTGAGGGAAATTTTGCCGGACAGCGGCACTATGGCCTACTCTTATATCGAAATTCCAACTGTCAAGGGATCTTTTACATGCATGCCAATGTGTACACAGGACCTTGGTTTTTCGTCCCATCCGAACAACTAGCCCTCCGTCCTGCATCACTGACAAGGGGGAACCACGCCGGAAATTTAGGCTATGAGATAAACAAATTGATTTATTGAGACTTTGGAATACAAAAACTTTGATTCTAATTGGATGAGATTGGGTTTCATTACATCAACACATTGTCTGTGTTCAATGATGAGAATTTTCAGCTGAGGCAAAGTAGAGTTACATTGGATAAATCCATTGGAAATATTGCCATTCCTATTGGTCTATATAGTGCACGACTGTGGTGCTGTACTGGATGACAATATGTGTATTAAACATACATTATGCAAGAGCTAAATCTGCTTATTGCATGTCTTTCTTTAGGCCTGAAATGTTTTCTAAATTATTAATTAGACATTATAAAATTAAAGAATCCCCGCTCAACAGAATACATAACAGACTTGTAGAAGTAGAAGATCGTTTGATGGGTCAATTAGACATTAATTAATTTATCCAGGCCATCATCAACTCTTCATGGCATCAGATTTCTACGATATTAAATAGATTAGAACAGTTCAGCCATATTCTGATTTAAGCTAAAAATGGAGGAGCGGGACTTGGCTTTGAACAACCAGTACGGTGGTTGAAATTATTGCACACGTCTTGTCAGACCTTCAAAGGCTAATATCTTCGCTCGCAATAGAGTAATTTGAATGAAATTTTCAAATTATTCATTTTACATTATCTATTTTCGAACTATTATAGCAAGAATGGCTAGCTCTTTATCTAAATCTAACATAATGCATCTTTAATGTTAATTTTTATTTTGTTGTTTTTCACAGGCAATGTCAGTTGCTCAGTTACAATCGTTCAGTTCACAACAAGCTATAGCAGTTACACAATCTCAGCGTGCTGCAATGTCTATTGATCAGAGAAATGCTCTGTCTACAGCTGCTTATGGTGATTTTGCAAACCTTGCATCATCCAAGTCAGGTGGATCAATGCTCACATTTATTTCTTTACTCAAACTAGATATTTTTCATTAATCAGTAGACACAATATTGGTGCAGTTATTCATTGCTGTCCTTTATTAACATCATTGCTTCAGTCAATATTCAGAATAAACGGTGCCAGCAATTTAGATTCTTTGCCTTTTCATAACAACTGGCACTGAAGCAATTTTCAACAAATTTTGTATGTAAGTAGTGTTGATGGTAGATGAGTCAAATAATGAATGTGGTCATATGTTGTCACTTGTCACCCATTCCATCTGTTTATAATTTCAAACACTGTAGACCACAGTAAATAATATTTTTAAAATTTTAATTCATTCAGCTTATGGTACTCCAAGACAGATGCCCACTGATTGTGAACATTTTTGACAATTATTCCTTTATTCAGACATGGTGGAGACCTAAATTTGTATGGAATCTTTTTAAGATTTACTAGGTTGTTAAAAACCCCTACAAATTCCCAACTATTATCTGTCACTCATAATACCTTAGCCATCACAATTATCGTGGGATATTTGTATAATATTTATTAACCTCAATTATAGAATGAAAAGAACTGTCCAGAACAAGCCTTACAGTACTTTTAACCACATTCAACAACAACTCATTACTCAACCCCAACATGCCAGAATTGTTTCATGCCCGTGCATTTAAAGTTTAGAACCCTCTCTTCAGAAATTTTGATGTTTAATACGATAAATAGGAGTATAATTGGAGTGGAGGCCAGACATTATTGGTAATATCCATCAAAAATAAAGTTTTAGGGCTTTTTAAAGGTAAATAAAAGAACTCTTTCTTATAATGTTAAGTAATGTTTTTTTTTGTTTTTTTTTTACAGGAACAGGCTCGACCTCACCAGTAGTAGTACAGATGACATTAACAGTTATCATGGGAATCCTCTGTCTGTGCTTATTTTTGCCCAGTTAATCATTAAGATATTATTATTTATTATAGGCTATTTGACTAAATATACATTCATGTGCTCATTGAAGTAAAAACACACTACGTTAGGCCATAAATAAAAAATTTCTGGTTCTCAGATAATCTGACATAAAATAGTCTCATTAATATTACTGCATGTAAATGTTTTTGGCATAAACATGACTTTATGCTGGTTATAACATTTATTAAATATACAGTAAACTTCGCATAAGTCGAATTTAAGTGGACTGACCAATTTTATCTGAGTTAAGGAAAGATCCGAGTTAGCCAAAGACCAAAATTCAATCTTAGCTCGATTAGAAATAAAGTGCAAGAGCTGATAATAATTGATTCAAAGGCACATTTCAAGCTTTTGTTCGTATGTGCGAGTAGATAGCTTCCGTTTTGTCGCCATCTTTGAAAAATGTCTCGAACAGCAGACAGCGGTTTCAAATTTTCTGTGAAAATTATATTATTGCGTTGCATAAAATAGTATTTTGGGGCTCTGTGCATGGAATACCTAATCGCGTTTTAGACCATCGAGACGAAACTGACAGTCAAATTCTGAACATACTGCTGATCCGATTTAGGCAAAGGAAAAAAGTCGGAATTAGATCAAATGGTCCAAACGATTTTATCCGAATTGAGCAAAGATCCGACTTATACGAATCCAACTTATGCGAGGTTTACTGTAATTCATTTTATTGCCCATTTCTTCCTTCCTTTATTGTATAAAATTTAGTAAAATGGGCAAAATTTATGACTACCTGTTTGGGTGCCAAAAGTGTCTTTACCCACCCACAGGTGCTGAGAACCCTTGTAATGCTACTACATGAAATGAAAGGTTACAAGTTGTATAAATGATCTCAGAATGATGAATGTAATTGATGTCCCTTCTATAAGTATAATACACTGCAAACTTATGTCAACCTGATATAACAGTTTCTCTTTTAAAGATGCATTATGTCTGAATTGGAAAAACAGTTGGCCGTTTTTGCTATAATAGTTCAAAAATATATAAAGAAAAATGAATATACTGAAAATTTCAGTCAAATTACTTTATTCTGTGCTAAGTTGTGAGTGTTTGAAGATATGACAAAATCTAGCATAGATTATTATCTTAGCAACAGTACTTGTTGATTGAGACTAGTGTAGATTATCTATTTTATTGTTAAACTCTCAATGGCCGCAGTGCTATTATCTGCTTAAAACCGTAGCTATCCAACAATCCTGAGTTAATTATGGGTTTGTCATATTAATAAATGCTTAATTGATAATTTATATAACATTTAAAGAAAGACCTGCAATAGGCAGATTTAGCTCTTACATAATGCATCTTTAAACATACATTATGCAAGAGCTAAATCTGCCAATTGCTTGTCTTTCTTTAGGACTGAAATGTTATCTATATTTTTAATTAAGACATTAACTTATCCAGACCATAATCGACTCTTAATGTCATTGCTAGCCTGCGATATATACTGGATTATAATCCGATCTGCTGCTCAATGCCCATTCATGATTAAATCAAAAAATGGATAATCAATTCTAGGCCCAAAATTCAATTGCTAAATTCTCGATTCAGAGTGGATCAATTTGACTGAAATTTTCAGCAAATTCCCTTTACATTATCTAGTTTTTAACTATTATAGTGAGAACTACCAGCTCTTTATCTAATCTCCCATAATATACATGTATCTATAGCTGAACTATATGAAGTGTACTTTGTTTGCTTGAATATACTGAATATTTTTTCACATACAATAAAAGGTTAAACCAGTTTCGTGTTGTCATCTATATTGGGCATTGATGCAAGTAAAAACCAACTGTCACTGCAGGGATATATAGCCAAGACAGCACCTTAAATTATGGTTATCAGTCACATGACTAAAACTTTCAAGAAGCAAAGGTCTCTATAGCTCAAGTAAATTTTTACAAATGTAAGCAAAATGCTGCCCTCATAATATAGTGATCACACATCAGCTACTTGGCTGAAAAAAAAAAAATAAAGTTCCATACTTGGAAAATATATTTTTTCAATCTAACCAAAAATGTTCCCCCACGTCAGATTACACGACCACACCAGTTACATGGCTAAACCGTAACTGAAATAACGATCAATGCATGCAGAGCTCTTTATTTTTTGTTGTTGAAAGTCTAGCCAAAAGGGAAGGGGCTATCGGCTATTTCCAACTCAGGTCAACTTCAACATGAACGAAAAATGGAACTTGTCTTTTATGGTCATCAGTTATATGGCTGCTGCTGAACAGAAATAAGGAACAATGCATGGAAAGCATGTTTTCTTTTAAAGGGCCAATCCTGATAATTTTTGGAGAATAAAACAGCTTAATTTTGTGTCAAAATGCCTTAAAACCATCTACCTATGGGCCGAGCAAGTAACTCAATATTTGTGATACGTTTGCAAACAACTTAAACCCATCAGTCTTCATCTTGAAATGGAGACCGGTGTGACACCAGCGGTGTCCCAAACTGTATTATACGGCGTCGGGATAAAACCAGACCTTTTTTTTTATAAAAATAATGTGCAGGTGACATTTACCGTCTGCTATCAAGTACAGCACATGGGTCATTCACTGTATAGACCTCTCAAGAAACGGGAATTGATTATCAGGTCACCCAACGAAAAGATTGACCTGAAATGTTAAAAGGGTAACGTGTCCGGATAAGCAGTTTTGACGTTCACGTCCAAACGACTCAATATTTTGAGCTGAAATTTTGAGACAAGGTCAATACACCATTCCTATATATTTTGGTGCTTAAATTTCATACGTACTCGGACTTTAATTTTTGAGACTGTTAAGGCTTTCCCCATTCCATGTCAGATTGTCAATTATATCACAGCCCCTTCCTACCCTCGCTATATAAAGTTAGTAATAATCATTAAAACATTGTACAATGAACTGGTTTAAAAATAAAACAAAAGTATAACAAATGTTTGTTATCTATGTAAAATGGTATCCAGAGTGCTGCAGTAAGAGTAATGAACTACACCCAGACTCATTCACGACCCAATTATCAAGGGACAATGATCACTGTAATTCGGGTATCATTTAATCTTGTGTATTTAGCACTAACTTCTTTCACATTCGTTTAATATTTACATCTTTGTTTAAAAACTTAAAAAAATCATTTAAAATCACCAACAAATCATCTAATTTGTACTTCTGTCCAGTTTAAAGCTGACCATTCAATTTTGATAATGTGTCCAATTTACAACTGTTTAATTTCTCTATCACTGTTAGAAAATAAACAACCCAATTGATTATTGATGTATAATGATTAATTTTTGAACAGTGGTCAGGAAATAAAACCCTTGTAAATTGGAGGCTCATTATCAAAATTAATCAGTCAGCTTTAAACTGGTCACAAGTACAAATTAGATAATTTTCAACAATTTTTACGAATTTTTAAACAAAGATGTAAATATTAAACGAATGTGAAAGAAATTAGTACTAGATACACAAGATTAAATAATACCCAGGTTACAGTGGATGATACTAACTTACTATCAACTTTACATTTGGGATGTTTCTAAAATATATAATGCACAAGAACAAAACTTTCTATTATTATCTTTAAATAATTTATTTATAAGTGTGATAGACATGAAATAGATCATTAAAAAAATAAGAAATCTATGTACATGCATCATATAAGTAAATAGAATGTACATGTATGTCTTGATTTATAGTGGGATAGACATGAAAAAGATCGTGGAAAAAAATGAGAAATATATGTACATGTATCAGTGTCATAAAATTAAATAGAACTTGCTTTAAAAAAAAACCCAACACAATCTCTACACTAGTCTCTGCATTTCCTCTCGAACAGCATGTCCATGATGTTCAAATTCTTTCCTTCTGGAGTCTAAAATCTTTTGCTGCAAATAGAAAATATTTATAGTAAATAACCTTTCTGTGAGTAGGGTCGGAGTAACGGGGTTGCTGACTGGGCTGCAACCAGGAGCTCCCAAATTAGTTCCCCAAAAACTTAACATAACTTAAAGTAGCTAAGTCTCTAACTCAATATCATCAAAAATCTTAGACACTGAAAACACAAATTATTTGTCAATTGAAATCAACATTGGTCTTGTGATCTTACAGGGAAAAGATGGGCTTCTGATATCCAATATTCAAGACAAAATAAACATTTTAACATTGGTACATGAATCGCGTATCAGAATGCGTTTCAGCGCCGTTTGTAATAAGGGGCTCGAAGAACGAGGCTAGACATATCCCACAAGTCATGCCAAATGGTGACGCTATATTCTTATCTGGAGAGCATGCGCAATAAATATCATCGGTGTAGACTGGAATAACCAGACGCTAAAGATTGCCATTCAATTGAGACTTCTGGCGTATTTCGCCGAACATAACTGATTAGAAATTACAGTAAAAACGTAACGTAAACGGGTGAATGTAAATCAGTTTATATACATTCACATTACATTGTTATATGTCTTGTGACCCATTTGTGTCAATATCTAGGTCCCAAATATTAGCGATTTAGCTCCTTTAATGTCATGTGTTCCGGTAGAGTTTAAAGTTACAATTTCATATTTTCCAAGAAAGTCAAAACATAATTATTTCTATATCTTTTGCTCAATAGGTTGTCAACTCACTATTAAACAATCATAGGTTATCTTTCTCACACTTGAAAATCCTCACACCGGAAATAATAACACAATTACCTCCCTTATTTTCCTATTCCCCACCATGGAATAGCTATCTTCAAACGTTTGAATTTGAAGTTGAAAATGATATTTTTGCCAATTTCTCAACTGGCAATAGTGAATTATAGGATTATTCTTTAACAAGGTAGGACTGTTTATAGATACCATCTATTTTAGGACTTTATTTTAATACATTTTAAAAATATGAAATTGTAACTTTAACTAGGGAATGTACTGACAACCAGAAAATGTCCCCTTTCACTGTTAATCTGGCCCTGTCAGCAAATAACACTGTGCTTGAAAAACATATCTTCCATAAACACTAATCAATGGAGTGCCCAGCAACTAAACATACAAAATATTATTTATTATAATACTCGAGTTTAATCATATGCTTCACATCAATTTAAAATCTGTAGAATTTATCGTGTTCACAAGCCAATTGTTGATAGACATAATATCCACACAAAAGCTCTGACCTGCAGAGTGGTTACAAGAAGGTGGATGAACTGATACACATAAAAACATAATTATGACTAATATTCATAACAAAATTCAAACAATGAAGACTTGACGGGAGTGGAAGTATGACTAAACTTTTCGGAAATTTTTATAACCTACCATTTTATTTTTTTGACGTTTTATTTCAAGCTTTATAAACTGTTCTACAGTAAGTTCTTCTATAGGCTTGTTGATCTTTAAAAATGGACAATTAGGAGAGTGCTTTACATGTTCTTCCCTTAAAAAAGAAAACATAATTTGTATTGAGATCATTCGCACCAAATTTATAATTTAAGTAGTGGAGTCAAAATTATTTAAAAGTGTATCCAATTATTGGTATCTTGAAAAGTGCCGAGCCCCAGTTTTCATCACCTTATACCTTATACATCTCTATACAGCTGAGAGCTGACACTGTGATGGGCCACAGGTAGTGCTAGTATTGGTAAGCTTGTAAATCTCATTGTGTGCGATATCACCTCCAGGGAAGCAGACATTAATAAATAAATCATTTCAAATACATTTAATTTGACTCAGAGAAGATGACCTCTAACTAAATAGGGCGTGTGCAGGCTACATACCATGGATCATCTGTTGGTTCCCAACCATCTAATTCCTTAAAGCACAAAAAGCAACAAACAGCGTCTGGTTCTTGGTCAGTTGGACAATGGTAAAAACCAGCTTCTGCTAACTAGAACATACAATTAAATATGTAATAATATATGATGAATGCCCCTACATGTGATAAAGACTAGAAAATAAGACCTATCACCTGCACATTTCAATCTTTCGCAGTCGCAAGATATAAGCTTATATAAATTCCCTATCAGTGTGACTCATAGTTGGTCTCCGACACGACATGCCAGATAATACTTGTAATCATATCTAAGTTCTCACTGTAAATCACACATTACATGTATATGTATATTGCAATTTCCAAACATCAATATTCTTCATAGCGGTAAATTTTGGTATTGTGAATAAAGAAGCTGTATGACTTTTCACACCCGACAACCACCAAGAAGCAATTTATCCCCACCGGCAACATACTAATCCCAATCTTGATAAAACTATTAATATTTAATAATCTTATTTAAAAGCAAATACATTAACAATAATACATAACGTGCCAGCTTGTAAAAATGGCGTTTTATTTTTCATTTAGGCTTATACATGTATTTGTTACCACTTTTAAAAACATTGTTTAATTATCTGCCGATATGTTATGTTGAATGCCAGTTAACTCATCCACAAGAAAACTGAATTCGTCCACATGAAAAGTCTAGTTTAGTCCACAAATATCAAAACTCATTGGTTGAATCGTCCATACGACATTGTTTATGTTCAAGAGATACATAAATATGTTGGTTGAGTCGCCCACACAACATTGTTTATGTTCTGGACACAGAAGTATTCATAGTGAGTATAATTAAGTGTACTGAGTGATACTTTATCATCAAATCCATGTGGTTTTCATAGTGTTTGATGAGTATAATTTTCTTTACGTCACATTAATAACAAACAACAAAATAAATCACTTAATTCAATAAATAATAGCAATTTCATTTATAAATAACCATGGACCTTGAAGTTGTCTACTTATTAATATCACCGATTAATTGAAATTCTGTGTAATTTTAAATCATGGATATCAATGAAAAAGCATGTGGTAAAATTTGTTTATACGTACATACATGTACAGGGAGTATTTCAATTCAGATTTCATATCAAACCAATTATGTCTAAAGTCATAACGCCAAACAATATTCGTCTACTTTATTACAAAATCATTTATTCCTGAAGCAATGGGCCGAGAAATCCTTCTCTGGACATTGCTGGGTTGGCTTCTGATACTTGAGCTTTTGAGGGAGTGTGTCTATTCTTCCCGTTCAATCAAATCTATCCCAAGTACAGCAACATATATGACAGCCCATCGTTTAATCTGGGGTCTTCCTTAAAAATTTGGATAGTGATTTAATGTATTAAAAACGGTGAAAGTATTGTTCATCTCCAAACAGTATTGTTTACATTATATTCATTTTGATAGCCTCGTTTGACATGCAATTAGTTTTTCTGCAATATTATACTATGCACTGGTTAATTGGTCATAATAAAATCCTGAGTAATGATGTAACGTTATGTAAACATATGCCAATATGGTCCAATTTGGAGCTCTGTTTAAAGCGTAACGGTAATATTAATATTGTTTCGCAGTTAGCTATTGGTTGTTAATCAGACTATTAACCAGTCATAATTTGGAACAGAAATTTGCTTCCTTTACAGCAGTGTAAAGTGGGATTAGGTATAATCAAACGAAACACTGCCAGGAGTATGCAAAATCATTGGTGAACGAATCATCATGTCTAAAATCATAATGCTAACCAACAAACAATACTATTACTAGTCATCTTTATTGCAAAAACATTGGTGAACTAATCTCGTCTGTGATAGGTCTACCAAGCTAGTTCATTATTGGGTAAATAAATGAAATGAAATGGGATTTAACGTCCTACTGTTCTGCTCCTAAACTGGGCTAATGAAGACAGGCATACGCCATACAGTGTGCTATGAGGGAAATTTTGCACGGGCAGTGGCGCTATGGCCTACTCTTATATCGAATTCCAACAGCCAAGGGATCTTTTGCATGCACACCAATGTGTACACGGGACCTTGGTTTTTCGTCCATCCCAATGACTAAACAGTTGTCCTTGTCAGGCCCTCCATCCTGCACCATTGACAAGGGGAAACCCTGTCGGAAAATGATCCCAATGAACTGCCAAGGGATCTTTTACGTGCATACCAATGTGTACACGGGACCTTGGTTTTTCGTCCCATCTGAACGACTAGACAGTTGTCCTTGTCAGGCCCTCCGTCCTGCATCACTGACAAGGGGAAACCATGCCGGAAAATCTGGATGAACTTTCTCGGCCAATGCATTGCAGGGATCGAACACCCGACCTCCAGACTAGCGAGCCAGCGTCTTACCCACTTAGCCACCGTGATCCCCATATTGGGTAAATAAAACAATTATAAACACTCAATGAGTAAAACTTATTTATTCCATACAATTAATGTGTGTAAACGAGTCAAGTATTAATTGTGGATGACATAACCTGAACCAGCCATTAGTGTGTACGAGTCAAGTATTAGTTGTGGACGACACGACATAACCATTGTTATCGATGACAATAAACCAATACCTTGTGGACGACATAACTGATTGGCAACCCATATGTTTACCTGTATTACATACTTCTATTTTTGTGGTGCATTGAATTTGATCTGCATAATTTAATTATTCTATTTACTATATATTATATTATTTTATATTTTTATTCTTTTAATTTCTATTGTATATACTTTTTAATAAAGTTTGTTCTTATTTTGTCGTCGGTGTGTTAAAATGATTTTTGGCAGAAGTCGATCGGTAAGCTATACACAAAAAATTGATATGTCATATGTCGATCGCATATCTGCTGAAGTAAAATTATGGAGTTGACATGATGATGGTCACGGTGGTGGTGTTGTTGACATCATCAAGTTTACGATTTGCTTACCCTTTGTGGTGTACATTTCCAATCGTCATCAAAAGGCCATACTTTGAAACTTTCAAGTCGATACTGCAATAAATGCATATAATAATCACTCATTAAATTATTCGACATATCAAAGCCAAAACAATAATATAAACACAACAAAATTCTTCAACTTCAAATTTCCCTCTCTAAATAGATGGCGCTGATTAAGAAAAGACAACTCTCGGCTCAAGTGAACTTGACGATCAGGTATCAGACTAGTAATTAACTACGACCTATAACATTTTTGAAACATTCCGACGATTTTAATTTTTATAACCACATAGAACCCAACATGTCACCATCATCCGATAAAATCATTGAATGGAATTGACCATTCTGATTATTTTTCTAGGCTGGTCAAGGGAACCTACCAGGATGATCACAGATGATTTCCCTAATTTTCATCCTTTCTTTCCTCTACAATAACCTGGCAGAAAATGTAAATTCAAACACTGTTATTAAATTGTTGACCAAATGTCAAAATAAAACGGGGAGGGGGAAAAGGGAAAGAATTGCTATAAATCGACGGACTATTATTCGTTAGGGAAAACACTTGTCTTGCTCCATAAAGGAAAATTATATTCCAATTATCGTTTTCCTGTATTTTGCCAACATTTTTTTCTTTAATTTTATATTCAATATTGTATGTTCCAGTAGCCTATCGTGATTTTAGCATTGTATTAGAAAATATGACACTTGGCTATTTTACATTAAACAAAAGAAACAGAATCTTGTAGAGAGCTAATAAATACTTTGTTTATTCCAGATCAGGACACAAAATAATACGCCATTTCAGTCACAAAATTATTTCGTTATAAATTCAACACATTCTAATCTTCTGTTGTCTTAGTAATCATTAATTTTGTCCATGTGAATGGAGCGCAATGCCGTGCTTAGTAATTGCTTAAGAGTTTTTGCGGGTCCTTTGAGTTTTAGCGACCCTCCCAAGTGGACAGAATCAACAGTATACAGAGGCGAAAGTACTTGGTCAACTCACAGTCACTGTATGAAATAATGGTAATGATGGCGACTTTCATGTTCAGAATCTGATACTACATAATAATATCGCTCAACCAATGTCAAGCTTATTCCGTGGCTCAGATTTCATACAGCCCAAAATTCTGCTCCCCGCATCCCCGCCCCCACCCGCAATAACGATATACATATTGGGTCATGCAAAATCAGCAGTTGACAACCCATCCATGGTACAACTTTCCACTGGCCCCTTGTGCAGGACGGGGGGGTCTGGCAATGAACAGCGTTTAGTCGTTCGGATGGGACAAAAAAACCGAGGATCGGTGTACACCACATGTGGCATGCACGTCAAGGAACCCTTGAAAGCTGGAATTTAATTGCTGTCCGGACAAAATTTCCCTCATAGCACACTACATGGCATAGAATGCACCTCTTCATTAGTAAAGTTGGAGTAGAAAAGTAAAACGTTAATCCTGATTTCCCGGCGTGGTTTCCCCTTGTCAGTGATGCGGGACGGAGGGCCTGGCAAGGACAGCTGTCTAGTCGTTCGGATGGGACGAAAAACCGATATAAGAGTAAGACTGTCCATAAAATTTCCCTCATAGCACACCATTTGGCCAATCTGAACAACAGACCCACCCTACAAGCAGCTACCATTTAGTTTTCGAACGTTAGCTATACGTACGACCGTATGGCGTATGCCTGTCTTTAAAGCCCAGTCGGAGCCGGTAGCATGTTAAACCCCATTTCATTTAATTTTTATAACATATATTTCCCATATTAATCTGCTAACTTGTCCTTAAAATCGGGTCAGATAATATTATTATACAATACCGAGTGCTTATAGAACTACAATCCACTTGGCATTCCTCGATAGAAAAAAACATCAGACGTATTTGAATATATTGTAGGGCGTAGCGTACGTAAATGGCGGGTAGACTATTTACCACAAGAAACTACAAAATACATGAACGTAAAGACTTAGTGTAAAATATACATCAAATTCAACACAAATATTATTATAAATTTATAATAAATGACCATTATAGTAATAAGCTTAAATTATATCTTTTTGGTCATAAATGGACTTGACTGATGTAATTTACATTGAAATTAGACATTTATTTTATTTATACTGGAACATTAATTTGCACTGAAACGAGAATACACTTAAAAAATCGAAATCAACGAAAATAGTATTATGGTAGGCCAATGATTATTATTTATGGGTTTGATCACAATAAGACTTTCTTGGCGATATTATTTCATTTAATTCCTGAAATAGGCTACATCGTAAAATCACCGAAAAACATCCAGCAAAACGCGAACGATAGTCAATAAAAAGAAAACAATGTTGACACGAATCCCCTTAAGACGAGAGCCACGCGGTGACACAGTGAGTGACTAGGTGATCCCGTGCTAGATCCAGCGGTTGGCCGTGAAAGTTCCTCAAGATTCACCAGCCTAGCTCGTTTCACCCCACTAAATGAAATGAAATGAAATGGGGTTTAACATCCTACTGTTCTGATCCTAAACTGGGCTAATGAAGACGGGCATACGCCATACAGTGTGCTATGAGGGAAATTTTGCCCGGGCAGCGGCGCTACGGCCTACTTTTATATCGAATTCCAACTGCCAAGGGATCTTTTACGTGCACGCCAATATGTACACGGGACCTCGGTTTTTCGTCCCATCCGAACGACTAGACAGCTGTCCTTGTCAGCCCCCCCCCCCCCGTCCTGCATCACTGACAAGGGGAAACCACATTCTGCCCACATATAGGACTATCTACTGCGAGAATAGATCTCTGCCCTGAATGACCGCCATATCCAAAAATAGTATAGGCCTACTATTTTGTAATGCGGTTCTACTCCGTTTCACGTCTGCCATTCACACAAAGACCAAATAAACCTTTTCCATTTTATTAAATGGACGCGGAATAAATACGCCTCAACATTCACGAACTATACTTAGTGTTTTCGACTAAAATCTCGATTAAGGAATTAAAATAGCGGTCAACTAGCTTAGTGACTGTCAATCGGAGCTGTAGACAGACAGCGTAAGTTTAGTATGGGTTTCACCATGTCAGTTATGATCATTATATATGTATGTACAAGGTTATACTTCATATTTTCATTTCATTGTTATACTTTCATTGTTATATTTTCATTGTATCATCCCAATGGTACATGCATATATCTCATTATATTTTCATTTCATTATATCATGTTATTCCAATATATTATTTCATGTAAAATATATTTTTGTATATGTATATTGATGTATGTGTATGTTTTGTATGTTCTTAATGGACGTAATATGCAAATAAAAAAAATTGAAAGTTGAAAATTATGCAAGACGGAGGGTCTCGCAAGGAAAAGGGTCGAATGGGTCTGAATAACACACGACAGTTTGAATTCGATGAAGAGTAGACCGAAACGCCGATGTGGGTCGGAATGTCAGTCTTGCCTATGTGGAGCACAAAAGTAGAAGTTACACCCCATTGCATTTCCACTCTAAGTCTAAGATTTTTGGTAATGTTTCTACTGATTCCATTATATTTGGTAGAACTGGTATTTTATTTTTCATAATCATCTTATTATTTCCCGTACGATGTGTTTAAATGATATGGATTTAATCATTGGCAGGGCAGCGAACTGGTATTTTCAGAGGGTGATTTGATCTTTGGCAGGTGAGAATTTCCAGATTTGATCTTTGGCAGAGCAGAATTTCCAGATAGATCAATGGCAGAGCATAATTAACGTTTTGAGACAATGGCTTTTTCTTTTAATTGGCGGGGGGGGGGGGGCTGAATGGTTAGCGTGCGCGCGCTGTATCATAAAGTCTGTCATTAAGTCGACTGGCGTGGTTTTGAATCCCCGGTTGTACGTGACAAGGAGTAGGGTCGCCTGTCCAACCTCGTGGGTTTTCTCCGGGTCCTCCGGTTTCCCCCCACTGCTAAAGATCCCTACGCGCAAGCGAATTATTGAAATAAAATTAAACCATATGTTAGTCCCGAAATGACCTAGTTTGTGTCGAGTGGACGTTAAACCCCATTTCTCTCTCTCTCTCTTTTAATTGGCAGAGAAGAATTAGTATTTCCAGACGATAACGTGATCTTAAACAGGGTAGAATTGTTTTTTTCAGTAGTACTACTAGTAGTTCGTCTTTCTGGTTCAAACGTTTTAGCTATAATCTGACTTGGTTCGTTTCTTTTACTGAAGAATTTGGTAAATTAACGGTGTTAGATCTTGTGAATTTCTCCATTGCATTTGTTGAAGCAGCACGCGCACAATACTGTTTATACACTTATCTGAAGCAGATATTCTTGGCTTTGTATTTTGATTTTCTGCATGTTGATCGGAGGAAGGAACCCGCCCAAGAGCAGGTAGTTTTTTTTTATATTTTACTACGCTATCTTGATAAGAAAATGACTCTTCTATTGGTGAATAATCATTAATCTTATAATTTCCAATGGAAGCTGACATATCGTCTTCTTTGTTTTATCTATCATCTGAATTTCAACTAACATCGTTGACGGGTTGAGTCTGGGGGCTGAAATGATGTCCCAGATCGACATATTCATCACTTTCGCTTCCTCCCTTTTCTTTGTCCATCGTAACTACTGAATCATATCATTAGAGGAACTTACTGATAGAACAATTCGTTGTTCTTTGGGTAGATGAGCCTCTTGTGCTTCAACTCATTTCTCACTGCCATTTTATAGTCAGTGTTAAACATACATTATGCAAGACGTGAAATGAAATGAAATGAAATGAAATGAAATGGGGTTTAACGTCCTACTGTTTTGCTCCGAACTGGGCTAATGAAGACGGGCATACGCCATACAGTGTGCTATGAGGGAAATTTTGCCCGGACAGCGTCCTACTCTTATATCGAATTCCAACTGTCAAGGGATCTTTTACGTGCACGCCAATGTGTACACGGGACCTCGGTTTTTCGTCTCATCCGAATGACTAGACAGCTGTCTTTGTCAGGCCCTCCGTCCTGCATCCCTGACAAGGGGGAACCACGCCAGAAAATCGGGATGAACTTTCTCGGCCAATGCAGGGATCGAACACCCGACCTCCAGGCTAGCGAGCCAGCGCCTTACCCACTAAGCCACTGTGATCCCCCTTATGCAAGACGCAAGTGTGCGTATTGCAGGTCTTTCTTTAGGCCCGAAATGTTATCT